GACCCTTTCTAGAGTGCCTCAATGTTGCTTGCCGGCTGCGCCTTGCTAGAGTGGGGACATCCTTTGGGAGGGCAAGTGCCGCTTTTTCTTGTTTTCCCCCTCTCGCTCCCGGCCGCCGCCGCCATTTTGCCTCCCCGATCGGCCGCCGGTGCACATGTGGGATCGCTGAACTGGCTTGTTCTTTTGCAAATGCCGGGTTGCTGCGTGCCGCAGTGTTCGAATCACTCGAGGAATGGGTGGAAGCTGTACGGCGTCCCAACAAACGCCGAACGGAGTCGTCTGTGGCTCGTACAGATAAAGCGGGACGACTGGGAGCCGAGCCGTTCGTCGTCTGTGTGCGGCGTGAGTACCAACTTTGTTTCCTTGAAATCGCCGGGTCTTTTGCCGCACAGTTAATTGCTAGATAGTGGTATTTCAGGTCGTGTTCCTGTAAGTTGGTTTATTTAGATAGGTTGTCATTTTTCTTGTGGGATGTATCTGTTTGGTTGTGTGAGATTGATCCTTTTGGATTTTGTGTGTGTGTTCTACATCTTTGTTTTCCTATCCAGGCATGCACCTACAAGTCCTGTTTTTTTGTACATCTGTGTTGTGCAGTCTCAGATTTTTTTGCACTACTGCATGTTTCAGTAAGTTGGTTTGTTAATGTATGTTGCCACCATTCTTGTGGAAAGTGTCTGTTTGATTATTTTTTTATATTTTATGTGGATTCTATATCTGTGGATTCCTATCCAGGCATCTATGTGTCCTGTTTTTTGTATTGTATTGTACAATCCCAGATATTTTTTTTTTTACTATTAGTTATTTTGGTAAGTTGGTTCGTTTAGGTGTGTAATCACTTTATGGAATCTGTGTTTGGTTGTGTGTAATTGATTCTTTTGGATTTAGTGTGTTTTATTTCTGGGGTTTCCTCTACAAGCATCTGCGAGTCCTGTTTTTTTTTTTTTTTTTTTTTGTATGTATTAAGCTGCTGTGTCAAATAAATCCTCATGTTTGAGATTTCTACGTTCTCTGCCTTTTTTTATTTCCATTTCCTTAGTGTCGGGTCTTCATCCTTAAATCTGACCCATGTCTAAACAATACTCTAAATTTTAATTACTGCCTTCAAAATGTCGAGTAAACACGTGTTGTAATGAATCCTGTACTGAGTGCACCACCATAACGATCTCCATCCTCTCCACTTTAAGCTTACTTTGTAAGACTTTCGCATGTTGTAAAATGTTCTTCAATACAACCCTGTTGCAGGTGCTGATACTCTGTGTTGAGAATTACTTTCTATTTGAAAACAGGGGAGCGCGTATGTTAATTGTAATGCTGTTTCTTATTTTAGGGATCAAGGCTATAAACCTATCTAATATTACATGTTACTTACCTAAAGATATGTGTAAACTGAACGTACATCTATTGATTTATGTCTGCATCAGTGCATTTTAAGGAAACAGATGAGCAAAAATGTAATAGTAACAAATAAAATATTTTGATTTCTGTCTGCGGAAGGTCTTTTGAGAATACAGGCCAGCAAACAAAATTTATAGACACCCTACTGTGGCCGTTTAGGGGAATATAGGAGAAAAACTTAAATCTCTCTGGATTTGTGCGTGCACTTGTGTGTGCGCTGGTGCCTAAAGGGCACCAGCGTGCATACAAAATAGGCAAGCAATTTTTTTTTTTGTTTTGAAAAGGTAAGGTGTAAGGTTTTTAGAACACCTGCACCAACAAGTGAGAAACTTTTAAATTCTAAATGAGCCATGGAAAAAAACAGAAATGTTTACTTGTCAAATTACCTCTCAACCCTGCACAGCGGCCGCCTATTCAGTGGTTTTTCTTGCATCAAATGGCCCATTTGAGTTTCATAGCTTTTGGAAGCACAGCGCGTCCAAGTATACTCAGAATTCCAGCGATATTAGCTTAGTTTCGGTTTCTAAATTTGGCTCCTTCCGATTAAAAACCAAACACAAAAACCTCAACAGGTCCTCATGGGATGTCTCTTATTAAGTAGCTCTTATTTCAGAAGCTCTGAATGCTAATCCAGAACTTATCACGATAACAATATAGTCGAATAAGAAGCGATAGAAAGCAGAACGTATATGTTCATATCAGCACCTCGCTCGTTGATCGCTTTCATTTTCCTCATTCAATGCAAGGCCAAACACGGGTAGGTATTGCAGCAGATGATAGCGCATATAGTCGGTATCAAATGTACTTTCATAGGTTGACCATCTGTAAGAACTGGGCCAGAATGCCAGCAGCAGCCGATGGAACTTTCGCGAGCACATTTGCGTTGTATGCGGACTAAATCGTAATTTTAAATGGGAAATCAAACGCATATTTGACTAAACGCGTGACGTTACGTGTCTTGAAGTGGTCACACTCTATTTCACAGGTGAGAATGCTCACTAGCTGCGTAGAGAGCTCACAAACGGCTGCATAAGCCCTCTTCCACATAGACTCGGCGGGCGAAGAAGGCGGCAATATGGCGACTCCGCTAGCAGACGACAGAGTTGTCTCCACTCTGGTACGGCGGGAGCCAGCAACATTGAGGCACTCTAACCCTTTCCAAAATTCAGTGCCATCTGGTGGTTCGTAAAGCAGTTTAGGTTTTGCCATATCAATGGCGGAAATGAACTTGTATCAACACCGTCACTTTCGCAAGTCAACGGCACGCGAGGGATTGTTCAGTGTGAGCTAGTTCTTTCTCGATCACTTTCAGTTCAATGGTGACCAAGAACCTGCATTCAGAACAAATCTCCAACCCACTCAGATGCCTCCAGCTGCTTCAAAGCCGATTGTGTGCCGCCCACAGAATGACTGAATCTGAGTTATTAGAAATCAACGCTTACGTAGCTCTTGTGTTCCATTCCTACGTCGCGTCGTACTGACCCCCCGAATGTACAGGCCTCGCATCATCCGCTTAGGAGCATCTTCAACGTCTTCCTTTATCAGTCACTAGAAGGCCGCCATTGGTATGGCACAGATGCCGTTCCACAGATGATGATAGTGATCAAAGTGGCCATACTGAATTTCGGAAAGGGTCTATTAGGGCAATTTATTTGTGTACTCAAATAGTCGCTCTTTAGTTTCAGTTAGAAGACGAAAAGAATTAAAAGGGCCGCGAAATTCAGAAAAAGGAATTGTAAGCAACAAGGTCACCATAACGATGTCGCAAGACCCGTCACTCAATCAGTGTACTTGACCATCCAGGTCCGTGAACAACATATTCTTGTGGACGTTTCGTGAAGGGTTCGTACTGTACTTGCAGCAGGTTATCATATTTTGCTTGTACGACTCCCACTTTGTCGGGACCATTGACACTCGTGCGAAACTATCTGTCCGGGAACCCTCAAATATGGCGGAAATTTGACAATAGACCGATCTCACCAAGCGTTCCACGCATGCTTGACGCCGCCATAACTGTAGTTCGTGGAGGCAGATGCCAGTTCACGCGACAGCTCATGCTGCCTTGTGGTCTGCTCGCGCAGACCTCCAGCAGGGTTGTCGCGCGTGCAGAAAGACTACAGCTCCCACGATGAATAGGGAGTTTTAGAATAGCGCACGCTAAAGCTTTGCGCACGCAAAGAATAGCGTCGTCGCCACTGCGCATGCTCCGAACGCAAAGCAGGTTTTGCGCTTTGCGTGCGCAGTTTTAGCGTGCGCTATTTCTCGGAAATAGCGTGCGTACACAAAGAGCCTTTGCGCTTCTCCTAGGAGGATTCGTGATGAGAAGTTGGCTAAAGCCAAGACGAGCACAGTTAAAAAAAATGGCGGCTTCCAGGATTATGTCGGCGGCTGCTTTGGCGGCGTCGTGAGTTCGACGTTGGCGGTATCCTCGCGACTGCAATTTTCAGTACGGGACGACATTGTACTCGGTTTGGCAGCGATCACCGACAACTTGATGCTTGCCACGCGCGAACATTTCACGGCGAAGGAACGATGTGCGAAGGTCAGTACACGAGACCTCTCTTGCCGAGGCGACGCAAACGGACACGACCGCTCAACCGCTCGCGTCGCGTTCTCATGTTTAAACAAATTAAAATGATACTCTGGACCATAAAACTCGTTTTTTTCCCTAAAGTTACAGCATTTCGTGTGTGAAATAAAATTTTTTACTGTATCTTGGTGGCGTCGCAAGCGCGAGATGCTTGGGCTTTTGCGTCGCGGCGGAGAAACGCTATTCTAAAACTCTCTTGCGTCGCGTGCGCTAATACAAGCGCTAAATTTAGCGCTAGCGTGCGCTAAAATTGCGTACGTTATTCTAAAACTCCCTAATGTCGGCAGCGGTGGCGTACTCAAACTAGCTAGTGAGATCGGTCTATTGATCATGGGTACACTATACTCTATTTCATCTTATGATGTACCGCAATAAAGGCTACAAGCGCGAGCTCCTTGCTTTGGGACACATGTCGGCGGCACAAGCTCTCGTGCATTAAGGGTAGCTGCCACAGCTACGAGCTCGTGCTTCCAGCCTTCACTGCGGTACAACGTAAGGTGAAACGGAGTATAGATGTCTTGTTTTTTTGCATGAGGTAAATTTAAGTTTCTGTACTTGTACAGTGACCATACAGTCATCTCGGGACCTCCGCTTGCTTTATTAAAAAGCCAATATATAGGGAGTTTTGTGATCTCGTATTTTATTTAGAGCTCTGCATGCACAAATTCATAAATGTTTTTTTTTTCTACATATATTTCAATTCTGGCGACTAAGTGTCTGATTTTATTTAATATATATAAACCTCGAGAAATTAAGTAGCTATTATGGAAAACTAAAATTTTCGGTTTTATCACGCTGTCGTGTTCAAACAATCATGAGCATTGTCACTAATACTGAATGATTTTCAAGTAATAGAAAAGCAGTAATAAGAAAAATAACAAGTAATGTATAAAAACAAGTTACCAAGTGCTTTACTATGAAAAAAAAAAAAAAGCCTAGCTAGGTTGTCTGAGCTCCGCAAGGTTAAGCGTTCCTAAATATTTCCATTATTAAGAATAATTGAACAACTTAGTCATCAGCTGCACGGTAACTTCCTCGAGCAGCTATGTCGGTAGCCCATGGCTTTGGCCCCGGAACAGTTGAAGCTATACGCGAAGCCGGGAATGTGTTTCAGAGGGACGTTACATCTCCACGCATTCTCCGCAGGCGTCCCGGCATAGTTGCACCAAACTGAGCAAAACCGAATAAAAAAGAACTGTCTCCAGGTGAAGGTCTTGCCATTGATCTGAACATTTCCGTCGTCCAGGCCAGAAGCGACTACGTCCTCCCAAACCAACTCGAGTCCTTCGCTGATGGCCCAAATTTCGTCGAGCAGAGAAGGCGATGGCTCGCCGTCGCTCACGTCGATGTACTCGCGCCTGAAGCAATTTTGCTGTTCCGCTATGGCAACATCCAGGTTGTGAGTCCACCAGCGTTTCTCGTTCCCGTTGGCGTCGTGATTCTGGCCGCTCCTTCCCACTGCCCGGTGCGTTAGACCCGCCAAAATAGCTCCTATCACGGCGTAGTTGACGAAAGGCTCAGACTTGGGGTAAAACATGGGCTGCTGGAACCACGAGGGCGTCAGGTACACAGAATTTTCCTCAGGGAAGTACCTGAAGCCCAACTTTTCATCGTCCATAATCCCTTCAGACATCCTGGTTTGTGCTCGACGGACCTTGACCTCTTGAGAGTAGCGTTTCAAGGCGATGTAGTTTAGTACAAAATTAGGCGTCATGGTGGGTAGTGCAATGTCCCGGTAAACATTTTCTTCCGGCATGCGGATGCGCAGTTTGGTCACCTTATCATGTACCAAGTGCCAAAGCTTGTACTTCGCGCCGCAATGTCCCACCAACTGCTTCAAGGCAGCCCTGGTAACGTCCTTCTTAATCTGCTGGACAATGAGGGTTCCATTCTGGGGAATGTATTCTAGGGAAGCTAGTCTCCACGTTTCTCTGAAAGAGAGCGCCTCCATTTCGCAGTAATGAAAATACCAATGAGGCCACTTCTTTCGATACTGAAGTGAAATCAGTTGATCGAGTATTGCGGCAAAGACGTTGATTAGTGCTAGAGTGACAGCCACCACTCGCTGGTTGGGTTGAAAAAAAGTGTTCATTGCAATTTTTATCACGCTTGTGTTCGAGCTCTGTATATTTGCCAATTCATTGAATTCAATCCCCTTAGGGAGAGAGGAGGATATGTGGTACCTGAAAGCTCTAGGTGAGACACCAATGATAATATCAGCAATTTCTTCTATCGATGTATTCGTAAAGCTTTTATATGCATCAGGCGGACCGAGGTTAAGAGACATCTCCATTCGATCTATCATGTCAATCGTGACGTTTGAGTGGAGATATGTGTTCGTCCACAATAGCATCCTAATGATCGAGTACCTAAAGTAGGCCATTTCGCCTCCCCATCTGGTTTCCAGACTGGGACCTAAGGCGAATGTCAGCGACAGAGAGCCATTCGATCCTCCGATGCTGACAAGGTTGATGGAGAGGATCGTTGGGATGTTGTAGCGAAGTGACATCAAGGTAATCAGCTGGAAGAGCATGCCCTGTGTGGCGTTGGAAGCCAATAAACCTGATGTCTCATTGATATGCTTTAAGAAGGCGACTGCCTGTCTGTCTGCTTCCAAGGGAGAATCTGCGGGACGAAGGCAAGAGCGATAGAAGCGCATAAGCGTCACCATTGCTTCCGACTTTCCGATCGTTTCACCCAAGTGCAATTCTAGACTGACGTTTATGAAGATGGCCTGGTACGCCCGGTCCAATATGCTCCCTCTCCATTCGGCATCCGAACCGCCGCATACGAACGCGTGAAAGTTGCGACACGGGTCCACGCCGAAGCTGACGGTCCGGTTAAGGTACTCCATGACGTCGGAGCAGCAAAAGGGAGGCGAAACGGGTAATGTTGGAAGCGTTGCTGACCTGATGGCCATCGCAGCGATCACTGCGGCCACGAGTAAAAGCATGAACAACGACAAGAGTAAGCAGCAGCGGGCGGCTTTGGAGTGTTTGTTTTTGATGTTCGGCTTGGCTGTTGAGATAGCCCGTGTCGTTTCGAATTCCTGCAGTAACAGCTGCATCGGCGTTGATGGCTGCAGTTTCTGTTCAAACTGTAATGACCGTTCAGGCGGTGAGTTTGGTGGCGATTGGGAGGACCGTCCTGGCTGCACCGGTTGGGAAGTGGATCCTGGCTGGGCTCGTTCGGATGGCAGTGATGGTTGTGGTGCACTTTGGTGACGAAGTAGACGTTCTGGTTGATCTGATTGTTCTGATTCTTCTGATACTGGCATCAATGAAAAGAGCATCGACCTCTTTGGCAAATGTTCTGGTAGCGACGACTGTGTTGGTTGTGACGGGTATGCCGTCTGCCCTTGGCTTGAGACTGCCGAATGCAAGGACAACCGGTCGTCTTCACTCGAAGAAGAACTAGAAACAGAAATAAATTAAGAATAAAAGGTATAATTATAACGGGCTATGATGTTAGTTTTTTAGCACCTTGGAAGATTATTGTTTTGTAGAACAATAAATCTAAAGATGAAATGAGATTGTAAGAGTGTTCCCGACTTGAAGCCGGGACGACACACTTTTCACGCTGCATGATTGGCTTAATCGCACGGCAGCGTCGTCTGCGGTCCGACTTTGCCAAAAGAAAGCTTTTTGACATTCCGCACTCTGTCTGATTTCCTGTGCTATAGAACAGCATGAGGTAGGCGCGCGAACGACTACTATACCTCGTTTCGCACACAGTTCGCGGGCGCAGCCGGCACTGCAACTCGATGGAGCCAACGATGCTTTGCCAAAAGCGAATCGTTCCGTATCAATACAAAAAGGAGCTGTAGCTAAATATTTCTATCCGTGAAACCTCGGATTTTCTTATTTGAGATAACTCCGATTCAAAGTTTTTCGTTTATTTTTTTTTTTTGCCAGATTTTTATAGAACGGGTGTGAGGGTTAACTTTCGTGTTTTATAAGTATTTGCTAAAAACGCATAACCCTCGGTGGATTTCGAGTGGTTTTAAAGCGGTTTTTTGCTGGTATATTTTGGGCGTACGCAACGAGCTTGAGTAAGCCAAAGGCCTGTTCACACATGCAGCGGAGCGCTACAAGTATGGCGCTGATCTTGCGCTAAGTGCTTGCTGACGAGAGCGTTCACCACCTTTGTATCGCACCTTCAAAACTGTTGCTCATGACAGACGATAAGTAGCTTGACGACACATGAGCAGCGCAACCTCAGCGCTTCGCTGCATGTATGAACCGGCCTTAATGGTACGTTTACACTTGCGGATCCTCTAGCGGATCTGCCCAGGTTTTGCCGCTGGGGCGAAACGCTGGGCGGAAAACGCGGCGGCGAGCCGTTTTGGTCCAGGACCTATTTCTGCCGCCGAACGAGGCGTTTCGCTGACCGGAAGTGACATTCTTGTGCGGCGCGACGTTGCCTACGTCACGAGTACGCGTTCTTCCGGGAGCAGCAACGCCCGGGAGAGAGAGAGCCGAGGCGGGAACTCTCGTGCCTTCTCGTCATATTTAACGAGATGCTACGGGAACCGCTGCCGCAGCCTGCGCTGCCGCCATTCCTCGAAGGAAATAGATGTAAACGCAACCCGCTCGTCGCCGCCGCCGCCGGAAGCGGATCCGCTCCCGCGGCAGCGGATTTCTTCTCAGGTGTAAACGTACCATTAGAGCGGTAAACTAGCGGCCGAAAATGGCAACCCCCCGGTTGCCGCCATTTTTCCCGTTTTCCACATTAGTGAGCACGGGAAGTTAAGATGGCATCGCCCGAAGGTGGGCCAGATCAGCTTATCACGGTGAGCAGGGCCGTGTTCCAAAATTTACTCGATCTCACTCTAGGGTAAAGCTGTACCTTGGCGTTCAAAAACCTTCCCTCGGCCATTTGCTCTATCTGCCTTGTCACGTGACATATGATCCATCCGAGTAGCTCGGATCCATTCGAGTGAGATCGGAAGACAGCGCCAGTAGGCCCATTTGCTGTCCGAGATCTGGCCAATCTGATCTGGCCCACCTCTGGGTGCTGCCATCTTGACGTCACGTGATCACCAATGAAGCAAACAGGCAAGATGGCGGCAACTGGGGGGGAGGGGGGGCTGCCATTTCCGTTGCAGGCCGTCGGTTCATGTCACGGTGTAAGATACACTCCTTAGGTGAGGACACGGCGGGGCTGAACACGTGGCACGAGAAATCAGATAGCGTTCGTTCCACGGGCATCCGAAAGGCTGCATCATCCCGCGGCCACCGTGCCCCCGGCTGACAGTGTCGCCGGCGGCCAGTGTCGCCGGCGGCCAAATGACTAAACTGTGTGAGAGCGAAAAAAATTATCTCGTTGCCATGACACCCCGGTACACCGTGGTGTTCCTGCACGTGCGACAACTTCGCTGGAGCTCTGCGCGCGTGGAGCATGAGGCGGCACGAGCCGTCTTGTGCACTGCTGCCTGCCTCCTGCGTCTTACACCGTGCCCACGGGTCGACGAGTCACCTGGCGGCGCCGCTTGAAACCATAGGGAGAGAGAGGGAGAGAGAGAGAGTGAAAAGCGAACTTTATCGGCACGGCCGCGAGGAGCGCGCTGTCCTCACCTGAAAAGTATTATCTTACACCGTGGTTCAGGTTTACCGCTCTAAGGTGATACTCAAGCTCGTTGCGTACGCAAGTGAGCTCTCTTATATACTATATAGGACTCCTGCTCTGATGCTCTGAGCAAAATGTGGTGCCTTTTTGTTTAGATAGAACAAGCTCACCTGATTTGGCTTCGCACTACTTGTGGCGCCATCGCTAAGATTTTTTTTCTTTTTTGTAGGGCTGAAGAACGGAAAAACACCTTTCGACGTCATTCGAAATAAGTTAGGTTCAACGACCGTTAAACAATTGAAAGTGCGGGATTCATACCACCATCGCTAGGGTACACGCATCCTATCACTGTGACGTCAAAATACCTAACTAATCTAGCATCAAGTTTTTTTGTGTTTTTTTTTTTTTTGCTTTGGAGTGTGTGATTGGCCTTTTTTGGCTCACGCTCTTAGCGTCTTAGCTTTGACAATAACCTCCTCTATACTCACAAAGCCTGGCACGACGACGGAGCCTAAAGGCCGGTTCACACATGCAGCGAAGCACTGAGGTAGCGCTGCTCACGTGCCGTCAGTTACTTATTGTCTGTCATGAGCAACAGTTTACAACATGCGATAAAAAGCTGGCGAACGCTCCCGTCAGTACGCGTTTAGCGCGAGGCCAGCGCTACACTTGTAGTGGTGTGAACAGGCCTATACAGTGCCCGGTCGCAGATTTGGAGCGCGAGGATCTGGTAGCACACAGCATCAAAGAGCCATTTCTCGGGGAACCTAAAGGGGAACCTGGGCGTCAGCGCACCACTTTTGCAATGGCGAAGACCCGAAACAAACTTGTTCGCTCGGGGGAAGTGTTTCGGCGTCTCGCCACAGCGGGGCGCTAGTCACGTGGCTCTCCTCTCATCCGTTGTCTGCCGCTCCACCTTTCTCATTTTGGTGGCCGCTTCTCGTAGCGATCTGCCAGCTTTCATAGTATATAGGAGGCTATGCTTTGGCCTGTGCTTCGACGGCGTTCGAATTCTGATTGTTTCTTTATATTTTACTCGTGATCGCGTTTAGCACCAGAGCAGGCACGCTTCTACCCGTGTGACAGGCTGTGTTCCAAATCTTACCGAAATGAATTCAAGTTACTCCAGAATGTCGTGTCACGTGACAACACAGATATACAGGGTGTCACAAAAGAAAATTTACATGGTCTTTTTTACCGCAAAAATAAACTAGGCATCGCCGAACGCTCATTCGTCTAAAGTGGCGAAGCGGGCGAGTTGGTTCCCTCTTTTGTCCTAGTCTTTGTCAGCGCTTTTAAATTTTAGCTCATTCTCCCCCAAAGGTAGCGCTAGAGGTCACAACCAAATGCCAGAGTTTCAGCTCGATCCGATTACTTAATCAAAAGTTATAAGTGATTTTCTGAAAATTTTAATGGGAAAATGGCGGCCGACGGAGTTTCCGAACACATGGGGCTCTATGGCTTCAAAAACCCAAAACGGGCAGTAATGGGCTCCATTTTCCCATTGAAATTTTCAGAAAATCAGTTATAACTTTTGATTAAGTTATCGGATCGGGCTGAAACTTTGGCATCTGGTTGGGACCCTTAGGGGGCTTTGTTTCGTTTTTTGCACTCCCAGGAGACTAGGGAGAGGGAAGTGACGTCAACAACGCAGCAAATGCAGATTGGTTGTTGATTTTGTTTTCTTCCGTCAACATCCAATCTGCGTTTGCTCTAGTCGTTGACGTCACTTCCTTCTTCCAAGTCTCTTGGGAGTGCAAAAAGTACAACATAGCACCCCTAGCTCTACCTTTGGGTGGAGGATGAGCGTTCGTCGATGCCTAGTTTATTTTGCGGTTAAAAAGACCGTGTAAATTTTCTTTTGTGACACCCTGTAGAAAAACGCTAAACGTGGGTATGTTTTTCGAACGCCAAGGTACAAAACCCTTACCCAAGGGTAAGAACGAGTAAATTTTGGAACACAACCTCGGTCTAAGGCGCAGAAGTTTGTACTACCCAAAACAGGACGCTGTTCGCAGCACACCGTGGGCAACGCAGGAGGCCTATACTGCACTAAAGGCGCGAACATGAACCGCTTTCGATTACTCCAAATCCAGCAAGGGAATAATCCCACGTTACACTAACAAGAGCATATTTTTTTAGTTTATTTTATTTTTATACTAGGAAATTCTAGACGCTTTAGCTGCCTTAATTGGTCATGTTCGTTCGCTTCGGATCGATAGTATAAGTGTTCTCAAGTGTTAACATAGTAAAAGTTTTCGAAAGAAAACTGGGAGAATGAGCTATTTTCTTACTTGCCCTTGGCGTCATTAGATGTTGGAAGTATTGAGGACTGATCCATCGATAGATCGCAGGCAGAGGCTGGCGTCGTTGTTCCCAGTTGGGTTGTGAGACAAAATTACGGAACCACCTCATGGAAAGATCAACAGAATCGAGAGCGCGAGCGACATCGTCTTTTACTTCTTCCTTCTTGTGCTCATAAGTAGCTTCGTCGTCCTTATATCAAATAAACTGTACAAACCTGCATATTAACTATTTTCATCTATTTATATGTTTATTTGTTAAATTGCTGCATTTATTTACGCATTCACTGATATGATATGATATATGATATCTTTATTTCAGCTCAGAAAAGCCGCGGCGCCATATCTAGAAGCCTTGCGGTGCCGCTTCCTGTGATCGGTGGGCGAGTGGGCTAGCGCGCACCAGCTCGGAGTACGTGGAGCGAAAGCTCGCGCTGCAGAACTCAGGGACTCAGGGATCCAAGGTTTAATTCCCACCCCTGCCCGTTTCGATCTGGATGAGCATCGTACCGGCGTCCGGTCGTGTATTACTACTGCGTGGTGCACGTTAAAGACCCCAGGCTAGCGGTTGTACTGCACTGGCTAAATTGCTCATCTACAGTGAGTGACTCGTCCCAGCTTTGAAATGGCGGACCAACTACACGCGCTGTCTAAATATCCACATGACACCAATTATTGTTGGTATTGTACAAATGAATCGTGTGGATGATAAGGATGATGATGTGATGATGAAGAAAAAAAGCCCCCTCATATTTCGCGTTGGAAAGGTTAGACTACAACCACTCTTTACGCGTGGGTTATGTGATCGCCTCTTCAAAGCAGCGGGCCCGATCGTCAACAAGCAAAGAAACTCCCTCCTGTCTGAAAATGGGAACAAACTTCTTTTCCTCCGCTGCTGGCATAACGATTTCTGAGTATCTTTTTGACTGTACTGAACTGCACATCCGATTGTGACTTTAGTTCAAAATATAGGGTGTCCCCAAGTCACCAGGTTCGATCTAAAATGGACTGTAAAAATCGACGCCTGCACGTAGCAATCTAAACTTTTCGTGAAAGGTGTATTTCGCACGTCGGTTGCTTTCTTGTAAAATTAAAAAGCGTAACTCCTTTTCTGTAAAAAAAAAAAAAAAAAAGGCAAAAAAACTTGCCAGGGTCAACGCCGGACGGCGACGCAGACGACCAATTTAAATTACGGGGGTGCGTTTGGCGCGTAGATGGCGTCGGGAGCAACGTTGGAAGGTGCAGCCGACCAGCGAAAGATAGCAGACGGCACGGAGACGATATCTGTTGGCAGCAAAAGCGCCGCCGTTATGCAGACGCGTTTTTCTTTTTACAGCGGAGCTGTTAAGAGCTAGGTTCCCCGGGATCGTGTCCGGTATGTCGACACAAACCTACCTGGACAGATACCACCATATATGCGCCTCGCAAGTGGGCTCATTTTCGTCTTCTGCGCATGAGAAAGGAAGAGCGGTGACGTCAGAACGCCGAGCCCTGATTGGCTGATCGCGACCCCCTATCTGAGCGTCGTCTGCTCCTTGGTCACGGTCCACCGAAGCTTGCTAATCCCCGTACTCTGCAGGCAGCCGAGGACAAACTGTCGTCGAGGACAAACTGTCCTACCGATTGCCCCATCGCTTCGACGAGAAAGGAAGATGGCGTCGAACGATGAGTTCGGTTACTTTGTTGATATTCGTGAAAAGCATGGCGGATGGTTGAAGTCCAGTTCTTAATCAATAATGTAAATATTGTCAGTCCGACGGTGCTCGTATTTACGTCGATGAAAAGATGAATCGCAATGTCAGACTGGCAACCTTATCGCTTTTGGCATGCAAAAAGGCGACGACCCCGAACTTTGCCATGCTTTTTACACAGCACGTCGAACTTTACGTTCAACGACATATTATTTTCTCGCCGGAACGGTGGGACAATCCCCAGCTCTCGGCAGAGTGATGCAATACCGGGGTTAGCAAGCATTTGTGACATGGCTCACGTAACTTCGAAACGCGATGCCGTCTGCTGCTTTGTGCGTGGAAAACCTTCTTTGTGCGAGTACATCGTAATTTGTTGTTAGATGTTTAAGCAGTGCAAAGTTAAACTACCCCAAGAAGCGCCTATAGTCTTTTTAAGGTGGGCGAAATTTTTAGCACGCCGATACGATGCTCATCCAGATCGAAACGGGCGGCGGCGTGGTTCGAGTCGATGATTCCTTGTTTCTGCGGCGCACGTTTTCCCTCCGCGTTATTCTCCTGACATGTTTAGGTACGAAGCCAAGTGTGGCGAAAGAACATGCGCTTACCTCGTTCAGCAGTTGGAAGACCCATTGCCGGGCTAGAGAGAACCAGCGCGAACTCTGTATGACATGTGTTATGTACAGATCTCCGTATAACACGTCACGAGGTCTCTGTGTAACACTTCACGAGGTCTCTGTATAACATCTCCGTATAACACGCCATGATTCCCTCCTCGCACCGAACGCGTCGGGAAGGAGGGGCTCCAGAGCTAATTTGAAAGCGCTATTGTGGCTGCTTGCCGCATCAATCTCAAATATAATTTTGATATTCGTAATCCTTGAGGCCAAGTAAAGGCGATTTAAATGTGTTTTTTCTCAAATACGAAACCGCTTCAGTTTCTTAAGGCATACTCCTTGCACACTCTACTTCTGAATTAATGTAATCTTGAACATTCTTGATGATCCCGATGAAAAATTGAGTGTGTCGCGTGTACAACATATTCGAAAGTATTCCAAGCTTTCCGTCACCAAACGTAACAAATCATAATGTACGCAAGATGCTCTCCTTTCCTCGATTCTCGAGGGAAGGAGAGCAAGGGGCTGCTTTCTGTACACAGGGACTTTAGGCTCTCCGCGGCAACGTGGCCAAGCCCAGCTTGATACGGGAGCTGATAAGTGCGGCGAATGCAGCGGTTTTTTTTTTCGTCTCGCTCAGGGCTCGATAAAGCTCTCGGTTCAGATATGGTCTTCGTACCTGCGTATCTAGCCCAGCAGAGTTCTGAAGAACTCTCGTCAAAAGCAATCGCTAACGCCCCAGGAATCAAGACGGTAAGTCCTCGAGCTTGTAACGTGTGCCGTTGATGGTTGGGCGTTGTTGTAGGCGTTACAGGTTGTGACAATTCGCTGCAAAAGGAAGGCGCACTGCAATGGCAACAATAAACCTTTAGAAAAGCCTGCAACTATACTTTAGCATTTTCGCGAACGTTGTTATCATTAAACTTCCTAAAATGAGGCTGAGCAGCTGGCCCAGGTAAAACATATTTCGTAGTATTAAGTATTAGCTCGTTTTGTGTAATGTCAGAATAATTGTACAAAGGTGTTTGCGAGTCTTTCAAATTTAGATACGAATGCGAAAACCGTTACGCTCGAGAGTAACAAAAAGTCGTTACACGCCGGCCAATTGGCAACAGAAATCAAGCATAGCTGACGGCGGGCGATACATAAGTATATAGAAAGCATATTGAACGAATGCTTGGAAATTATAATTAAGCATAAATAATTCTAATTTACGAAATTTAGCGAATAACAGAGCGGGAATCAAATCTCGAAGCGTGAGATCTGCAACCTGACGCCTTTGCTCGGCGCCACGAAGATGGGGTGGAGACTCCAGCAAAACGGACGGAGCCTAGCGGGAAAAAACACTGAACTGGCCAGAACAGTTCCTTTCACCATTTCCGTTCATCTCTTGTGGCTTCCATGATTGCATGTTGTCGGTGGTCTGCGAGATGGAACTGTTGTCCCGCTGACTCTGTCGTTTGTCTCGGTTGTCTTGTATTGTCTGATCGCTTTTCTCAACAGCTGCTTGCGCCCGTGTTAGTGTACGCGTTGGTTCTTGTCGCCTTCTTTGTTGCAACATGCATATAAAACTCAATGTCTCAAATAAAGTTTTAATAACTTTTTAAGCTGCATTTTTCTATATGGCTCAAAGTCATCTGGGCGCCTGTAAGGCCGAAGTATCTGAAGGCTGAAGAGATTTGAAGGGCTAAATGGGTTTGATGGGCTGAAGGGTTTGATGGGTTGAGGGTTTCGAAAGGCTGATCGGTCCCTATAACACATCAGGGCTAAAGGGTTTGATATAGTTACACAATGCCTTGTACATATTTTTAACTTGTGTTTTTCATGCGGAAAATTTCCACAAAATGAAACTTGCGAAAGTGTCTGTGATATTTAAGGGGGCGACAGAAATGTCCTGTCAAATTATAGACCAAAATCCATTTTGCCTGTTTTGAAAAGATTATTTTTTATCGTATTGATAGTTTTCTCCAGAAACACTTTGTAATTACAAAATCCCAGTTTTGCTTTAGAAAAGGAAAATCTACTGAATCCGCCCTTCTTTTACAGAATGAGATCATATTACAAAATATAGAAAGCAAACTCTTGACACTTGACATATTTATCGATTTCAGTAAAGCTTTCGATTGTCGCAATCCTAACATATTAATTGACAAGCTAATAAGCGGATATGGTATACGTGGTACATCACTTTCACTTTTATTCTGACACTTAAATGAACGTAGGCAATCTGTAATAATCGATGGTCATTTCTCATCACTGTTACAGATAAAGTACGGCGTGCCACAAGGTAGCATTTTGGTTCCATTGCTTTTTAATATTTATGTCCACGAATATTTCCGAACATCCCCTTTTTGTCTTGTATGCCTACGACACCAGTCTGTTCCTCAGTGACGCGAATGCGGATAACCTAATAACCATACCAAACTTTATATTGTCTAGATTTGTTTGTGGTCGCAAACAAATGGCTTATATATTGATGAAACAAAAACAAAGGAAATTGTATTCAAATCCTTCACTAGACACGAAAATATAAATGAAATTTTCTATTTTCAATCTATACGATTGAATTAGTGAGAGAACATAAAACAATAGAAATTATATTTTCAGAAAACTCACAATTGAATAAATAGTTCGGCAATAAATTATGTAAAATTGTTCGTGTACTTGCACGTTGCAGAGCCATTCTCCACGAAAAAAATAAAAAATAAAACTACAAATTATCATGCGTTGTTTAAATCCCAAATAGCTTATTGTCATCTCGTTTGGGGAATGACCACAGGGACAAATCTGAACAAAATATTATTACTACAAAAAAAAGCTCTTCGCTTTGTTGAAAACGTGTCTTTTTAGCCAACAGATAAGCTCGATTTTCACGATCTAAAATTATAAATATACATAGATTTTATGAGTACTTTTTGACTCGGCCATTTCGTTTTTCTTTCCCTGAATTTATTAGTTTTCTAAAACAATTTTCAGGATTGGTCAAAAATATGCCTGCCATCCGCACCCGTCACTCCGAGGAATGGAAGTGTTTCCGTTTCGGACGAACTACAGTTATAGTCTTTAAAACACAATCTATCCTCACTGCTCAACAAATATCATGCAGATGACGTGGACATTCATAGTATAAACCCTAAATCATTCTACTTATTTTTTGTATAAAATTTTTGTGTAAACCTTTTGTTTGCAAAATTCTATGTATGTATTTTACTTGTTGCCTGTTGCTATGCTCTCTGCAGTTATTTTTGTACTCCCGTAGCTGTCTGCCAAAGTGCACGGGGCCCGGACCTCCTGAAGTCAACATACGTTGACGTTTTGTCAGCGGCTCCGGCGTGTGTAACCTGCGCAGATGCAAGAATAAAAATTATTATTATTATTATTATTATTATTATTATTGATCATCGACCATTCTGCCGACAATGCTGCTTAGCACGTATACCTTATGGAGCTTACAGTTCGTACCATCGGGCAAGGACAAGCAGGTTTAACCACCAGCATAATGGAATGGCGTCGCATGCTAGCCATGTACAAGGTGTCCCAACAATGGCTGGGGTATTTTACCGTAAAAATGAACTATGCAATGCCAAACGCTCATTTTCCACCCAAATGTATCGCTGGTGGTCCAAAACAGGTACCAAAGTGTCAGAGCGAACCGTTACCTTGATCAAAAACTATAGGTGATTTTCTGAGAAGTTTATTGGGAAAATGAGGCCCTTTTTTGCCCGTTTTCTGTAACTGGCGCCATTCAGCTCCATGCATTCGAGATCTCAATCGGGTGCAATTTTCCCACTTAAAATGTTAGAAAATAACTCACATTTTTTTTAAGATAGTGGTTTGTTTTGAAACTTTGCCATCTGGTTTGGACCATTAGCATAACATTTGGCGTGAGAATGTGCATTCGGCGATGCATACTTTATTTGTTGAGGTGAAAAAACTTTATAATTCGGGGGGGGGGGGGGGGGGGGGGCGGGGGGGGGGGGAGCGCACACTTTGTATACTTTAGTAAATTAACTTGCGAAAGGAGCATTTTTCTTTAGGATGAGCACATTTCAATAATATATACTTTTCTGGTTTATACCGAAGTAATGCACATCAGTATGTGCAATATAAGACAGCGCCCGTAATCGTATGATCATAAAAAATACATGTTCCGCGGCGTTGACTCTTCTGCCATACTGTCACGAATGACAAATTATGAGGCTGCGAATAGCTGTAAAAACTGAACGTTTAATGGGGCGAACTTGTGCCCAAAACAAAATATAAAAAGGCTAGCGTCGCAGGCGTCCATGTCGGCGAAACAGCAGAATCGAGCGCTGGGGCGAGACTGACTCCGCTCGCCATGCTGAGTCCCTTATGTACGCGCGTGGGTTTCTGAAAAAATTCGGCGTAGAACTTTCGGCGCGTAGAACATTCGGAACTCAATCAGACGAGAATGTTTTCGAACTTACAAGAACGCCAAGTTGAAAGAATATATAAAAGAACATTCCACCTGACTGGAATCGAACCTAGACCTACCGCGCGTCACTCCAGCTCAATAATCATTCAGCCACGCGCGCTTTCTTTTTTTTTTTTTTTTTTTTCGGTCACGCTTGCGCTTGTTTGGCAACGCGCGTGGCAGTATTGTAAGGTTTTCTGAACTGTGAAGAGAGGTGCTAGAGCTCTGCGAGGGGCCGAGCCTACCCGAAAGCCCAGTCCCGGGCCGGATAAGACGGATTGTTTGAGGTCTCAGGTCGGGCCAAGGCCGGGTAGCGTGGGTTGTTTCCGGGCCCGGGCCGCGGTCGGGCAATGGTGTAGCACACTTCGTACAACGTTGAAAAAAAAAATGCTACCGCAATGATCGTCTAAATTTGAAAGCAACGAAAAAGCCGAAGTTTAAACTCGCTACGACGAACACATAAATACTGAACAGTTTTAATACATCGTGATTTCATACTGGACCGTGTAATCAGTGACTTGTATATACACTATAATGTCTCGAAGCTTTTCTTTATATTTTGGACAAGGGCTATTAAAATCTTTATGTTGACATTCGCCTTTTTATGCCGACACATAACGTCTTAGCAGCGTCGTTCATGCAACTTAGGCTAAGCGAAGAAAATGCACTAACACCTTAGGTTAGTAAAGAAATATAAAATAGCGCAAAAAAGACAAGGACAAAAAGCATACAGGACAGGCGTAGCGCCTGTCCTGTATACTTCTTGTCCTTGTCCTTTTTGCGCTCTTTTATGTTTTATAAAGATGAACCAACAAGCCCAACAACGTACCCTATTAGTACCTTAGGCTAGCTATGAATTTAAGAGATGAGGCACGCCTAGACCTCTCACTGGGATGGGCCTAATCAGGTACATCCCATAAAACCGGGTCCGGGTTGGTTAAGACTGAGAGCCAACGGGCCTGGGCTGGACAGGGCCGGGCCTCATTAAGCAGGTCTCAGAGGCGCCCTCTTTTTGAAGAAGGGTCTCTACCGCCGAACTGTGTCTATACTTTCAGTGCTGACGGATTTCGTTTCCTGACAACCGGTGGCCCTGACGGGGACCGTCAGGAATCTGCATTATGACAACCGGTAAGACAGCTTACTTCGATATCTCTGTTGTAAAACTTGTGATGTGTATAAATTAATTTCGTTTATCAATCCCTTATATGCCCACGTGGGGCTCTACATAAGGGGGCATACAGTCCTCGGTATGTGTATGGCACAGTGGCCAAATGAAAGAAAGACATAACAAAGAGTAACAATTGAAAAGTTGGGGTATATTCTGTAAAAGGTGGCAAGCGCTTCCCCCATTGTTTATTTTTTTGTAATATCAGATATTATTACTTTTGATGTAGGTTTAGAAAGAGTTATATATGTAAAGACAGAGGACGGGACAACACCATCTGTCTTTACATTTATAACTCTGTCTAAACCTACATCATTACCAACGCGCTCACTAACAAGTGTATTACTTTTGAATCGGGTAATTTATTGCGATTGTTGGTAGCTCGCTGCAAGGGGGGCATTTTAAAGGTATTAGATTAAAGCGCTTTGCAAGGAATCTAGGTGACGCGAGATGTGTTTTTCGGGTGTTTAGTACAAGTTATTTTTGAAAGGTAGATGGTAGCAAAACTTGCGTAGTATGGTTATTACGGATACGGGGAGCCGAGTTGTGTTTTCAAGCGATACTTCAAGAAAATTTGAAATATACCCGTCGTGGTCAGAAATAGGCTGATTATAATCTAGAATATAAGTAAATGACAATCACACGTTTGTATTTTGAGCCTGAGGGATGTATTCTCGTTAAAAACGGCCCATTCTGGCAAGCGCTCGGAGAGCAGCCAGCGGATAGCACGTGACATACGCCGCAATTGTGACGTAGATTGTCTCGGGACGAGCAAAGCTGCGGCGAGGCTCACGTCGAGAGCGTGTCCTAGCCGTTCCAGCCAACGAAGCGGCCGAAGCACGCCAGCGATCGGGCCATTACCACTAACCCCGAGGCTGCTTTTGTAGGAATTTTGAGTGAAGGGTTAATCTTCCATAATCTTGTAGAGGGACAATAGTGACGTCTGCGACACACAAAACAAAGTCTCGGGGAGAGTGGAGTTCCTCCTTCCCCTCTTCTTTCGTAGTGGCGAGAAGCGAGACAGTTATCGTCACTACCTGTCAAGGTTCCTAGACGGGCATTACAAACGAGGCGTTAGCGACATCCACCAGGTGCTCTTTCCTAATCGTGTAATTCGTTTTTAAAATTCCTTTCCTTGTCTTTTTCAACAAGAAAATGATGTGTCTTATGTGATACTGCTCCCTTGAACACGAATTTACCAAAAAATAAGCGCCAAAATTTTGCTGTAGTATCCCTTTATGTGCGCTGACACTAGACAAAGCTATAGTTCCGGGGAATAAATCGTACGGCACCGTTTTGAATAGCCTATAACCTCTCTTTTTAAGAATAACTGATGGGGACTCCAAACGGACCAGGCGTGCTATAGTTGTGTTTGAGCAAGTGAGTTGTATGCCAGGAGTTCACTGTCTTTCGAAGCCAGAAAAACTTTCAGCCTTTCCACTCTGGTGAAGAAGGAAGAGCAGCTGAGCTGGGTAGCTTCTGTTTTCGGCGGTGGCTTTCCAGACGAGCGATCTGCTCTTCTTTCGCAGGGGAATCTGAAGCGCTCGACGTCCTGAAACTTTAAGCGATAGCGGCCTCGCGGCGGTTGCGGAACCATTTCCGCTGTTGCGCGCATCGCCGCTCGTTCCGTTCCCGCTCATCTTCCTGCGAAGAAATGTTGCCGCCATTAATGAGCGACGGAAGCAACCAGTTGTCTGGTTGCCGAGGTAAAAAGGTTGCAGCGATCTTTGAGCGACGGCGGCAAGCAGACAATCGGCAAGCAGAACGCTCTGGACAGCTACCGCCACCTATGAGCGCTGGCGGCAATCAGAGTGTTGTGCCGACCACCGGTATCGACATTTGTTTGGTACCGGACACGATTTTGGGGAAACTAGCCCTTAACAGCTCCGCAATAAAAAAAAAAAAAAGGCTATGTCGCAGAAAACCAAGTGTCTGGTTAGCTTTGCTAATAATGTGAGTTATGTGACGTTCTCATGAAAGATTACATGTTCACACGGAGAAAAAAGGTGTAATTCTTACACGCCTCGTAACATATAAGACACCCCCAAACTTGTGTTCTACAAACAACGCTTTGAGGTTGAACCGACGGTACCAACTTTCATGAGCGGCTTGATAGCCGAGTTGTACAACTTAATAAATAGCCAATGTACATGTGACGACTCCTCCTCAGTGAAAACATTGGCAAAAAAGAAAGTTGAGGGTGTCGCAGCTTTCCCTTTCTGAGGCTTCATTCTTCTCAGGGTCAACAATGCGGGGTGGTATTTTTTTTTAGCTTAGGTTTTATAGCCGTCCAGAATTTCTTGGGATTTGTTTCCTATAAGTAAAACAAATTTATATTTAAAAAGAAAGAAAAAAAAACATATATTTATATTTTTTTAATTTTGTACGTACAGGTCGAAGCGCATTCTCGAGATTTTGACGATGTAGATGGAGTACTATTTATACTTCCGCACATGACCTGAAATACGTGACCTGAAATAAACTCTATGAACGAATGTATGCATTTCATCGATTAACGGAGTCTTAATAAAATTCCAAATCTCATCCACGTTCTATTTTCAGAGCTTTCAAAAACGGTCAGCATGAAACTCGACAGGCAAAAAATTGGGGCCTGTTGATCAGCGCGTGGATAGCTGAACGCTGTCTTACCTAAAGGGCTAAACTTTGGAGTCAGTATGTTTAATTGAACGTGAATAGAAGAATGGTCACTAGGTGGCTCTAGGTGTTCAACAGCCGTGACGCACTCGGGGTCTCACTGAGTAAGAAAGAGGTCAAGTGTTGCAGGTTCGTGAGTTGGTTTGATAATCATTTGTGAGTATGGGAGTCCGCGTTGCACACGTCAATAAAAAAACGCGCCTGAGGGGGAAGACAATGCCACAAATTAAAGGGCATGCGAGCAGGCACAACGAGCCACACAATTTCGGGATAATTAAATTCGCCGGCTAATATGAATACATCTTTAGAAAACAGCTGCACAAGTGATTCAAGACATTTCTGAAAGACGGCTGATAAGCCAAGGAAGTCGGGTGGCCTGTAACAAGAAATGATTAATACATAAGGCGAGAGCGTCTTTGTTCCTAATCGAAAGTGCTTCACAATCTGTCAGTACATCGGTTTTTAAAACGTGCAGTGTGTTTTTAACCACCACAAAAACTCCCCTCTTCCTACGTCCCGCTCTGCCTCTGCGATAAATCGAGTACGAATCGTTCAGTAGCAGTTCAGAGTTGCAGATATTTTTCCTTAGCCAATTTTCTGTTATAACCACGATATCAGCCAAACGCGAATCAACAGCAGACAACAGTTCCTCCTGTTTTGAGCACACGTTTCCAGCGGTTGGAATAAAAAGGGGAATGCAATCGAATCAGTCAGGTCGAGGTAATGCGCTTCATTTTGGCTGGGGTTGCTACGGTGAAACAGCTTTCAAGGAACTTGCGTGCTTGTCGTAAACATACCGACTGCATCCGGTGAAAGGCTTATCGCGCCGTAACCGTATATCGCGACCTTGGCTCTTTGAAAATACCATGCAGTGCTCGTCTTGTCGTGCGTACGGCCGGGACGAAGTCCTTGCTCATCCGAAAGGTATAGTTCCCTTTGAAGAGGGTCCCTTAGATTAAACAAGTTTTTTTAAATTATTTTTGAGTTAGGTAAATATGACAATCATCGATCTGGGAGGAGCTCCCTCGCCACGGTGCGTTCCGAGCCCGTGCACGCGCTCTGAATATGGCGTGAAGTTTGACGGGCCCACTGTGCGTCTGACGTCTCTGTTGTAGGAGAAAGTTTGCCAGTGCAATACGACTGCCAACCCCTGGACGTCTTTCATGTGCATCGCGCGGTATAGTCATACTACACCATACGCCGGTACGATCCCCCCCAGATGAAAGCGGGCAGAGATGGGGATTGAGCCCAAAATCTCTGGGTTCCGAAGAGTGTGTTTCTCGCTCCACGTGCTCCGAGCCGCCTCGCGTCAGCGCACTCGCGGCCGCCGATCTCCCATTCTTTCCGCTGTTCGCACGCTCCCAATTTCCATCTTCTGGCCTGCGCACCCGGAACTCGGATTGTCATTATTCGGATGCCAATGACTGGCAGCTAAATAAACTAATCGTTTGGCTTATATTTTGTTCCGGCTTCCTGCGTTGTGAGGGGTTTCGTAGGCATTTTTTTCGGCCGGTGCACTAATTTTACTGGTTACGGAGCGATCATTAGATGCTCGGCTTTTGCCACGCTTTTTTTCTTAAGCTGGCAGTGGCTATATCCGAATTATTTGCAGACAAAGACATTTCGCAGTCTTAAGGTGGCATCGCCTCCCGAAGCTGCAGTACAGGTACGAGACATTCCCTTGCAACTAGCAGCAGGCGCTCCTTGAACACGCTGAAAGCCCAACCGGTAAAATGGATGTCGGCGTGGCCGCGATTCATTCGGGTGAATAGTTTGTGGTTGGAGCTCTTGGGGTATAGCTGCGAAAATGATTCAAAAGCCGGGAGAATTCATTGATAGAAATGTTTACCTCTGCTTAATGCAACAAAGAAGTAAGCAAGGAGATAGACGCTTCGCCACCTATGCGGGTGGTATCTTCAGTATACACGAATGAAAACGTAGCAAATTTCAACCCAAATCAAAATAATTTTATTAGCAGTTTGAAACTGCGTTTTTGCGTGCTCTGCATACTTCCAAAGTACCCTTCTGCATGTTCAAATTAAGATGGCCTCGATGCGGAAGCGTTCGTTCAGCGGGAGTGCTCGGTCGGAATTTTATTTCGTGTGAGTTGTAGCCTCGAGTCCAGGCAAGTGCGAAAAACACAAATGCAAAACAATAGAAAAAAAAACGCACTCGTCTATGTTGCCGGCACGAGCGGAGCACGCGGGAACTGCGAGCCACGTGTTTTCGCTCGACCGCGAGCATCCCCGCCAAGATCATTCCGACGCTTCGCCAACACCTTGTACACGTCGTCGAACTTGGCTGCCCG